AAAAAAAAAAAAAAAAAGAATTCAATTGACAAACTGAAACACATTAGAGTCTCTCAACAGCAGAATTGACCAAGCAGAAGAGAGAATTAGTGAGCCTGAAGACAGGTTATTTGAAAATACACACTCAGAAAAGAAAAAAGAAAAAAGGATAAATAAAAATAAAGCATGCCTATGAGATCTAGAAAATAGCCTCAAAAGAGCAAATCTAAGAATTATTGGCCTTAAAGAGGAGGTAGAGAGAGAGATTGGCATAGAAAATTTATTCAAAGAAATAACAGAGAACTTTCCAAACCCTGAGAAAGAGATCAATATTCAGGTATAAGAATGTCATAGAACACCATGCAGATTAAACCCAAACAAAGCTACCTCAATGCATTTAATAATCAAGCTCCCAAAGGTCATGGACAAAGAAAAGATTCTAAGGGAAACGAGAGAAGAAAAAAAAAAATAACACATAAAGGAGCTCCAATACATCTGGCAGCAGGCTTCTCAGTGGAAACCTTATAGGCCAGGAGAGAGTGGCATGACATATACAAAGTACTGAAGGAAAGAAACCTTAACCCTAGAATATTACATCCTGCAAAAATATCCTTCAAACATGAAGGAGAAATACTTTCCCAGACAAAAAAAGCTGAGGGATTTCATCAACACCAGATCTGTCCTACAAGAAATGTTAAACAGAGTTCTTCAATCTGAAGGAAAAAGACATTAACGAACAATAAGAAATAATCTGACGGTACACAATTCACTGGTAACAGGAAGTACACAAATACATTGCTGCAACTGCGGTGTATAAACCACTTATATCTTAAGTAGGAAGACTGAAAGACAAACCTATCAAAAATAACAACTTTTTGAGAGAGAGACAGTATAAAAAGATATGGATGAAAACACCAAAAAATTAAAAAGCAGGGGCAGGAGGGATGGAGTTAAAGGGTAGAATTTCTGTTAGATTTCTCTTTTCTAGTTTGTTTGTAAGCAAAGTTGTCATATGTTTGAAATAATTGGTTGTAAAATGTTTTTTGCAAGACTTATGATAACCTCGAATCAAAAAACCTACAACAAATACACAAAAGATAAAAAGCAAGAAATTAAAACACAATACTAGAGAAAATCGCTTTTAACAAAGAAAGACAGGAAGGAAGTAAGAAAGAGAGAGGAACTAACATAACCAGAAACCAAATAACAACATGAAGTCGTAGTAAGTCCTTACCTATCGATATTAATAATAACACTGAATGTGAATGGACTAAACTCTCCAATCAAAAGATGTAACATGGCTGAATGGATAAAAAAATAAGAGCCAACTATACGTTGTCTGCAAGAAACCCACTTCATCTATAAAGACACATATAGACTGAAAATAAAGGGATGGAAAAAGATATTTCTGAAACTATGAAACTACTAAAAGAAAACATTGGAGAAATGCTTTAGGACATTGGTCTGGGCAAGGACTTCTTGAGTAGTACCCCCAAAGCACAGGCAATCAAAGCAAAATTGGACAAACAGGATCACATCAAGCTAAAAAGCTCCTGCAGAGCAAATGAAACAACAAAGAGAAAAGACAACCCACAGAACGGGAGAAAATATTTGGAAACTCCTCATCTGACAAGGGATTAATAATTAGAATATATAACATGCTCCAACAAATCAATAAGAAGAAATCAAATAATCTGATTAAAAAATGGGGAAAGGATCTGAATAGACATTTCTCAAAAGAACACATACAAATGGCCAACAGGTATATAAAAAAATGCTCAACATCATTAGTCATCAGAGAAATGCAAATCAAAACTACAATGAGATATCATTTCCCCCCAGTTAAAATGGCTTTTATCAAAAAGACAGGCAGTAACAAAAGCTGGAGAAGATGTGGAGAAAGGGGAACCCTCGTACACCATTGGTGGGAATGTAAATTAGTGCAACCACTATGGAGAATAGCATGGAGGTTCCTCAAAAAACTGAAAATATTAATAGAACTACCATATGATCCAGCAATCCCACTGCTGGGTATGTATCAAAAGGAGGGGAATTTAGTATATCAAAAAGATATCTGTACTCCCAGGTTTATTGTAGCACTATTGACAATAGCCAAGATTTAGAATCAACCTAACTGCCCATCAATGGATGAATGGATAAAGAAATCATGGTACATATACACAATGGAATATTATATAGCCACAAAAAAGAATGAAATCTTGCCATTTGCAACAACATGAATGGAACTGGAGAACATTATGTTAAGTGAAATAAGCCAAGCACAGAAAGACAAATCTCTCATGTTCTCACTCATATCTGGGAGCTAAATATTAAAAACAATTGATCTCATGGAGACAGAGAGCAGAATGATGGCTACCCAGAGGCTGGGAACAGTAACAGGGAGGGGGCGGGGATAAAATGGGGATAGTTAATGGGTGCAAAAATATAGTCAGATAGTTTGATAGATTGAACAATATTTGACAACACAACAAAGTGACTATAACCAACAAGTTAG